AAAATGAAAAGCGTTTAAACGCTTATCACTCAACTCGAGCTGAGAAAAGCATAAACATACGATTTTCAATTTATTTCAAAGTATATTTGTTAACTATATTTGCAAATTTTTCTCTTTAAATTTTCCCAGCTCATTTATGTGAGAAATTCAAATGTTATGTTTTTAGGCTTTTAAACCTCAGTGGAGTCCCGTAAATATTGTATTCATACGTTCAAGAAGCGTCAATGTTTTATTAGCTCAAGGGAACAAACTCTAGGACAGTATATGATTTTAGTTCTGCAAAATTCATTTCCCTTGAGCTCCATTAGATCGATTTTTATGTATCAATATTTTATATGGGTGGTGCATGTTAGTTCAGAAAGCTGACTACTTTTGACTTTGTAGGTCGTCGGTTTTAAGCGAACAATTCTGCAAAAATTGTTAAAGAATAACGTTTAAAAAGAAAAAAATGGAGCTTTAATCTAACCATTTAATTTTTACACCCTTTCAGTGGAATTTATTTACTTTACATTCTCTTTTAGCTACAGTGATATATTGAGTAAATGAGTAGGAACATTATCCAAGGCCTTTTACACGATGCTACAGCTCGTAAGAAACGCCCAACCAAATAACAAGTATTTGTGGGAGACGCCAAAGATGAAGATCACTTCCACTGTCTTCCGATTGACAGCGTCTGTGTTTTTGTTGTAGTTATTTTGTTTGATTATCTGAGTTTTTATATACTTATCACAGTTCCATATACTAGGCTGATTGAAAACTCATAATAAAATTTCATCTAAACGAATATAAAAAAAGAAACATATTAAGCCGTCATAGGATAATTTTCGGGAAAGCTGCTCTTTAATTTGAAAAGTGTGCTTATTTTAATGAAATGATGTATTGTTGTAATAAAGATTAAATTGAAAACATATACAAGTAGTAGAAATAAGGTTTGCCCGACTAATGATCAAGTAATTTTCCTTTGAACTGGTCGAACATTAAAATAAAAACATCAAATTCAATTGATTAAAACTCTTTTGCTCTAATTTTTAATGATTTTGGGTATTTTCGGGTTGATATACCCTCAATTTTAAAAATTTTTTAACTCTGCAATAGGGGAATCAGCCTTTTATAACTCCTTCCAAGGGTTCCTCCAAAAATTTGGTTTCCTTTTAGCCCTGTTTTCCCTTTGCCAAGAAAACCCTTAAACCGAAAAAGCACAAAATGAAAAAATGCCCCAAAAAGACAACCCTTGAAGTTTTGAACGAAGAAAAAACCAGATGGTAAAAATTTAACAGAAAATTTTAAAAAAAGATGGGACCCAAATTTTAAAAGGGGGGAGAGAAGTTTGAAGGGTTTTTTTCATGAAAAAAATGACAAAATTTTTTTTATTATTTTAAAAAAGGGAAAATTTTAAAATTTTTGTTTCCCGGTTTCAAAAAAGTTTAATCAAATTTTTTTGGTTAATTTAAAAGACACATAAATTTCTGAAAAAATTTTCCCTGGAAAAGAAAAAAACTTAAAAAAGGTATGGTCTTAAAACCCGTGTTTTGGGGGTTAGGGGAAAATAAACCTTGTTGTTTTTTCTTTGGCCAAAAAACTGAAGTGTTTTTTTTTAATAACAGAATTTTTTGGCCCCCTTTTTTATTTTATTATTGGGTTTCCTTTTTATAAAAAAAGGTTTTCTACTTTTCTTTTTTTGTTTTTGAAAAAACCCCCCCGCGTTCATTTGGGAAATAGTAAATTGCCAAAAATTCCCCATAGAAAATTAGATAAATTTTTATATTCTAATGGAAAATTTAGGTGTTTAATTTTAATTAGTTTAATAAAAAAAGAAAAATTTAAAAATAACCTCCTTCCCCCCAAACCACCTCAATAAAACAAAAAAACTTTTAACAGTCGTAACTATAATACAATGTATTAAATATGACACATATATAATAAATTATGTGAACTTTATAAAGTTTTAATACTTTTGTATAGTGAGGAGCTGCATTCTTGAACACTGCTTTTCTTTGTAAACTTCCACTCTCATGACTTCGTTATTGATACGTTCAGACGATGGAAACTTGTTTTTTTTTTCTTGTAACGTAGGACACTCCTTATTTGGTTAATGACGATGATAACAGTGCAATGTAAAATTATAGAATAACAATGACAATAATGACTCATAAATTAATCTAAATAGCATTTTAGGACGTGTCCTAAAGCTGATACAAGCCACGGTGATAGACCTTTTAGAGGGTTCGTTTGGCAATAATTCATGCGGTCATAGCATCAGGCAGCACAGTTAATCTGACATTACTCACGGTGATAGACCTTTTAGAGTGTTTTTTTATGAAATAACTCCGGCAGTGTTACCCTTAGGCAACACAAAAAATGTGACAAAACCCACGGGGATAGGCCTGTAAGAGGGTTCTTATGGCTATAACAACTGGCGGTCATAGCATCAGGCAACTCAATCAAGCTGACACAACCCATGGTGATAAGCCTTTTTAAGGCAAATACACCGGCCTTCTTATGCTCCGGCAACACAGCCAATCTGACACAACCCACGGTGAGAGACCTTTAAGTGTATTCCTATGGCTATAAAACCGGCGATCATAGCATTAGGCAACACAACCAAACTGACACATCCCACAGTGATAGGCCTCTTAGAGTGATTTTATGGCAATTAACCGGCAGTCATAGCCTCGGGCAACTATCAAATCTTAAACGAAATACGTACATTTTGCATTTTGAAATATATGATATACTAAAAAAAATTAAAAAATAAAAACAAAATTTAAAATTTAAAAAAGAAATTTTAAAAAATCGTCTCAAATCCCAAATAACGTGCCTCATCTAATTCACAGCTGTGTATTTGTCCAAAAGAAATCAGTCTTGTACTAAAAACAAATGTATAATAACCTAAAACTATCAAAATTTGAGTCAGTAATAAAAGACAATCGTTCAATAAATAGACTACTCATTCAATGTTCTCTTTTTCTTATGAAAATAAAGAATCTTAGTTGTAAGGTTTATTTAACGACACAATTATTGAAGAACTTAATAATGTATTCATACTTCAAGTAACGTCAATGTTTTATTAGCTCAAGGGAACAAACTCCAGGACAGTATATGATTTTAGTTATGCAAAATTCATATCCCTTGAGCTTCAATAGATCGATGTATGCATCCACATTTTATAAGCCTAGGTCGATGCCCTCTGGTATGGTTCTTTTTCATCAAATTGTAATAATAAAAAAGACTTACAATTAATTTAATTTACTAATACATTTTGAAAAAATTATTGAACCTTTTACAGTATAACCAATGCACTTTCAGCATTTGCATTCACTCAAATGGCGAACGTATAAACATTTATTTGTGTATTTGTGTAATATGTCGAAAGGGAAAACAGGGCATAGAGCGGCTTGTTAGGCTCAAGATTTTCAAAGCCGAAATAAATTTCGCGACAACTATCACACATACTGCTTGGTGCACTCAGTATTTTATTCCATTAAAATACTTACAAACCTATCAAGCCGATAAATCCTGGTTGATACATGAATGTTCACCTACCTTTGTAAAGCTTCCCTGATCATATCCGTATATAAATTGTTTTGCAACATTAAATTAAAGAGAGATAATCCATCATGTAAAATATTAGTATACTAAAAATTGCCTCGCTTCGTAAACACTAAAGAAATTTAAAATTAAAGATGCATGTTAGTTAAGAAAGCTGACTACTTTTGACTTTGTAGGTCGTCGGTTTTAAGCAAACAATACTGCAAAATGTGTCAAAACATAACGTTTATAAAGAAAAAAAATGGAGTTTTAATTTATCCATTCAATTGGCTTAACACCTTTTAAGTTGAATTTATTTACTTTATAACACTTTTTAGCTACGGTGATATATTTAGTAAAGCAGAAGGAAGATTACCCAAGGCCTTTTACACGATGCTACAGCTCGTCAGAAACGCCCAACCAAACAACAAGTACTTGTGGAAGACGCCAAAGATGAAGATCACTTCCATTGTCTTCAGATTGACGGTGGGTCATTCTGTGTATTTGTTGTAGTGTTATTTATTGTTTATCTGAGTTTAATATACATATAACAGTTCTATATAGACTGATTGAAAACTTATAATAAATTTTCATTTAAACGATTGTGAAAAAGAAAAGCCTTAAAAGGATTCATTTTCGGGAAAGCTGCCTTTTAATTTGAAAAGTGTGCTTATTTTAATGAAATGCTGTATTGCTGTAATAAAGATAAAATTGAAAACATATACAAATAGTCAAAATAAGGTTTGCCCGACTAATTATTAAGTTATCTTCCCTTTAACTGGTCTAAAATTAAAAGAAAAGCATCAAATTCAAGAGCAGATAACATGAAAACGGGCACGGTTACACTTAATTTTGTTTTGCTTAAAATGAATTTGTTATCATATTTTAGAGCATATAACAATATTGCCGTTATTCTCCTTTATCTTAATGTTTATATAATTTTTCTTTTCTTTTTCATAAAACATAGAGTTTCGCACACATCTATCAGTGTGTATATTTTGTTTATGCACTTACGAGCGAGTTTCTTAAATGATAAGATGCAGTGCTCTTTCAGCGTGTTTAGCCAATTTAACCGTTGTTATCACAGCGTGATTTAGCCATTCACATTGCAGTTTAGCCATTTACAACTTGGTTAAAACAATCATAGCGTGACCTACACAATCACATCGCGGTTTAGCCAATTACAGCGTTGTTAAAATAATCACAGCCTGGTTTGGCCAATCACAGTTCTTCGCATACCAGAAACATATACTGTTAAGCCTTTATGTGGGTAATAAATAAAACATTACTTACGCTACTATCAGCACAATGTCCTATAAAAATACAAGGATAATAATTCTAGTTTTAGAAAAGGAAATCATACACTACACAATTAACTTGCCCACATGAAATCTTACAGGAAGCTATACTTTGTTAGATGATTTATTATTCGAGTTCACGATTTTCATGTCATTTTAATTATTCTAAAATCGGATTGTTTATTTATTTGTTTAGTTAGCTAGTTAGTTATTGTATGTTTTTGTTTGTTTGTTTGTTTGCTAAGAAAATAGCAATTAGTGCAGAAGAAGAACATTTGACATTATAATCAGCAAGACTCTATAGGTTTTTTCTAGTTTTCATTCTTTATAGTTTTAATTGCAATCTCGTGTATGTAAAACATAATTGCTGTCATATCCGATGGCTTCGGGGTTTGTATGCAAAGTTTCAAAGGATATGCGGCAATCTTTACTGCTTGCTTCGTATTCCGCTGTTCTGCATATTATTTTTTTAATGTTTGTACAGTTGTTCACACATTCCTCTATAGTGACTGGTTTTATCGAGTTCGTATTGAACCCGCTAAGATACGTGTTCACTTCTACTTGGTATGTACTACCATATCGAGAATCTCCACAATCTGAAGTATAGTAGAAGGAGAAATAGAATCTACTAAATGTTATAAACTTATAAAACATACCCCGATTTTATTTCCTTTTTTTTTTTTCATCATATTGATCGATTTGATTAAAAAACATTTTTAATTAAAAATTTCATGTAATAGAATTCTTTCTAAAATTTGACCCAACTTTCCACGTGCAAACATTGTAAGTTTTTATTTTGGGTATATGATCAACAGAATCTTATGTTCGTGTTGATTCAATACTAAATTTATTGAACTCATCAGAGGCTCGCATAACATTTTTTTATTCAATTTGTTCAATGAATTTAGTGTTAAATCTACACTCATTCAATGTCTTCAATGTCTTTTATTTCTTCTCAATCTCTTCGGGAATTCACGAAGTTGAATTCGCGAAGTTTAGATCAGGAATTCATGAAGTTGAAATCGGGAATTCATGAATCTGAAATCTTGAATGCCTTATGTTGAAAACGGGAATTCACGAGGTTTAAATTTTGAATTAATGAAGATGAAATTTGCCCTACCTGTCTTTCGTAAATTTCATTAAGTCATGTGCATTATTGAATTTTTTTCATAGTAAGATATGAAATTGAACACAATTATGGCAAAATGTTAAATTATTTCTATTTTTATCTGTTAACTGACCATTTATACTTGGATGGACATAGATAATAGCAATTTTTGATAGTACCTGAGAGACATTTTCTTGTGGCATGGTGGTAGCTAAGACCGGGTTTACATTTACATGCCAATCTTTTACATTCAGCATTTTCAACGTCACTGCACATATCGTCTGAAGTACAATATTGCCTCATAGAACTGACCTCCACGGATTGTTTTTCAACTTTTATCTCGGTTATCTAATAACAAAACAAGAACCTTATGTACCAGTTGACAATCAGTTGATAAAACTACGAAAGTATGAGTAAAATGACACTAAGATGATTAAAAAAGGAAAAAGAAACAATCTTAAACCAGTCCTAACTTGGTTGACAAAAAGAAACTTAATAACTAGTAAGTAAAAAGAATAGAAGTAACATACAGTCATTTTTGATAATAAAAAAGAATAAAAAAGATTTTACTTAAACGATATTTGCTTGATAAAACAGAGTATTGAATAAGAGTTTCAACTAAAAGATACTTAGTGTTTGAAATTAATTTTTGTCCAATAGGATTGCAGTTTTTCAAATGAATTGTAACACATTTACTTTGGTAAGTCGGCAAACTGTATATCAATCTAGTTAATGAACTGTTTATAAAAAAATAAAACACTTAGCTAGTTAGAATTTATTAGACTAAGTACGTATTTACAAAATTAAATTAGTCGCGCGGCTGGTCGCTTAGTTGAAGACACGAAAAATTGTTTGATATTTTAAAACGGTTGATAAAAACTGAATAAAAGTTTAACTAAATAACACTCTGTTTGAATGATCCAATAAGAAATTTAAACTTATAAATTTGGGGAAGATTAATTTGATTTCCTTGTTTCATTTGTTTAAAGCAATTAACTATTTTATTCAGAATTTGAAATTTTGTCTTTATTTATTCAATTTTATATCTTATAGATTGAAACGTATTATGAGTGACAACAAAATGCAAAATAATTACTCACATTTTCGACGACTTTATTCATAGCCTTCTGAATAAGTTCAACTCTTTGCTCTAATTTCGAATGATCGTCGGTATTTTTCGATTGATGTACATCGATTTTATTTTTCAACTCTGCAATAGTGAACTCGGCTTTGATAATTCTCTCCAGTGTTTGAGCCTCATAATGGTACCTTGAGCACTGTTGCTTCTCGCCAAACACGTTGCCGAGTAAAGCACATATGACAAAAATGCCGGAAAGGATATCCATTTTAAGTTGTGTCTACGAAGACTACCCAGATGGTAAGTGATTAAAGAAATGATTGAAGGATTTCAAATAAGAGATATTTATATAGTTTGATGGGTTCATTTCGGATGAAACAATGACAAGATTTTTTTTATCATAAAGCAGGTCAAAATTTTGTTTCCGTTTCACAAGTATATCAATATTTTTTTGAAGAGACTTAAGTATTTGTACATGTAGATACATGTAGGTCTTAAACTGTGTTTGTGTAAGACAAAGCTGTGCGTACTTTGGCAAACTGAAGTGTTTTATAATACGATATGGCGTTTTAGTATTTTGTCTCATACAAGTATACGACTTTCTTTTGTTTGTTTTAATCGGACCGGTTTTATTGGATAATAGAATTCAAATACACATAAAATCGTAGACAATTTTCTTTTATTGCTATCGATGACAATTGTTTGTTTTGTTAACGAAAAAATAAAAATAGATTCATTAGGATAACCACCTCATATACATATTTTCATCAGTCGTAACTATAATATTCTATATGACAAATATATATGTGAACTTTATACAGTTTTACAAAATTTTGTATATGATAATATAGACAAATAGCAATACTAATGTTAACATAAAGCTGTTCATACCCGATTGGTGCCCGGATCATGTTCAGTGAGCTTCTTCTCATGTAATACTGGAACAAGGCAGGGCTGTGTTGGAAGTACGATAATTTTTTCACTTTTCATAAATGATCTAGTTACTTTTTTGCATGAAAAATGTAATAGAGGTATTTTTGTATCCAATGACATTGAAAAGTTAATTGCTCTAATGTTTGCTGATGATGTGTCTAGCTTTTCTGACACCGTTGTAAATCTACAGCAGCAAATAAATTATATTGAAAATTATTGTAAATCTGTTAAGATGAAGATAAACTTAAGTAAAACGAAACTCATTGTTTTTAGAAATGGCCGTGTTTTGAAACAAACTGAAAAATGTTTCATAATGAACCTATTGAAGTTGTTCCATTTTACAAATATTTAGGTGTATTTTTTCCACCAAAGTTAGTATGGTCTTAAACACAAAAGATGCTTGCACTACAAGGAATTAAAGATTCTGCTTGTATATTCAATTTTCGAAGACAATTTCGTCACATTGATCCTACTGATATGTTCAAAATTTTTGATTCAAACCTATATTGTGTTATGCGTCAGAAATCTGGGGTTATAATTATGTTGATAAGATTGAATATGTACAAGTTAAATTCTGTAAACAATATTGTAACTTGTCACAAAATAGCACAAGCTATTTTGCTCTTGGTGAATATGGAAGATTACCTCTCTGTTCTATCTATATGACAAATTGTGTTAAGTACTGGTTAAAACTGACACGAATCGGAGATCATAGGTACCCAAAACATTGTTATTTGATGTTAAAACGACTACACGAATTTGGACGGAAAACATGGGCTGGCAACATTAAAGATTATGCTTTTTCAATTTGGTTTTGGATACATATGGATCTCTCATGATGTCGGTGATGACTTAAATTTCATGAATATGTTAAAGCAACGCTCATCACAAAACGGGCATAATGTTGTTGATTCCTCTCCAAAAGCATTACATAACAAGTATTTTAAGACTTTACTTAATGTTGAACGATATTTAAGTTTATATTTAGCATATAAGTATAGAAGAGCTTTTTCTAATTTTCGCTGTTCATGTCATAATCTTATGATAGAGAAATGTAGACATATTGGAATAGATAGAGATTTAAGATATTGCTTTCATTGCCTAAAGACAAATATTTATGTTATTGAGGATAAATATCATTTTTTTCTTTAAATGTTCACTATATTACAATATCAGAGCTGTCTATTTTAAAGATACATCACCATTCCCATCATTTATTTTATTCTCTCATGTCATCAACAATAACAAATGAAGTAATATCTATTGCTAAATATATATATTATGCATTGAATGTAAGAAAGGAAGAGCTAAATACTGTATAATTATTTACAAATTCAATTCATTACATCTAGTTACAAATGTATTTGCAATTTATCACTCTACTGTTTGATTGTATTGTTGTACTTTGTATTTTGGGCCTGACGCCTATATTACTAGAAATAAACTGAAAATGAAACTTGACCCAACGAGTTAGGCTTTTTAGAATCTCCTTATGGCAAGAAAACCGGCTTTCAGAGGCTCAGGCAGCACAGTCAAGCTGACACCACAAACGTTGATAGACATTTTTGGGGGTCCTTATGGCAATAACAACGGCGCCAATAGCCTCAGTTAATATAGTAAAGATGACACAACCCACGGTAAAAGGACATTTATAGGATCCTTATGGCCGTATAACCAGCCCTCATAGCCACAGGCAACACATTCCAGATGACACAATCCACGTTGAAAGACTTTTTAGGGGGTCGTTATGGAAATTGTACCGGCAGTCATAGCCTCAGGTAACATAGTAAAGCTCACACAACCCACTATTATTGTCCTTTTGGGGATCTTAATGAAAATACCAACGGCGGAAATAACCTCTGTCAACACAGTCAAGATGACAAAACCCACGGTAAAATCACATTTAGAGGGTTCTTATGACCGTAAAACCAGCCGTCATAGCATCAGGAAGCAGATTCATGCCCGACACAACCAACCTTATGGCAATAACACCGCTGGTCATAGCCTCAGGCAAGACGGTCAAGCTAAAACATTTCACGGTGAAAGGCATTTTAGAGGATTCTAGTGGCAATTAACCGGCAGGCAACACAGACAAGCTGAGTCAACCACTGGTGATAGGAATGTAAGAGGGTCCTTATGGCAATAAAACCAGCTGTCAGAGACTCAGGCAGCACATACAAGCTGACGCAACAAACAGTGATTCTGATAGAGGCAAAATAATAAATCATATTTTATAAAACCTCTATTACCGATAAAACCGCAGGCAAACATGCTTGTAGGTTTGTTTGTTTGTTTGTTTGTTTCATTTTACGCCTTTTCCCAACAGTATTTCAGTCATATAGGCGGGTAGTTTCCTAACCATCGTTCCTGGAGAGTTACACCTGTACTAGACTACCTTCCTCCGCGCTAAACTACCAAAGCATCTCCCGGGGATCGAACCCACGCCAAAGAGGTAACTGGATTAGAAGTCATCGACTCTAACCCCTCGACCACGGATGTTTGTAGGTAAAAGGTCGACTCAAAATAAAAAAAAAATCTGAATTGTTATTGAATTTAATTGAATATTTCTCTTAAACTGGTGTCGTGTCTCGAATCCATGGCATCTGGGTTGCTCAATGAAAGACGTATACAAATGTGTTTTATCATTAAAGGGCTCTTTGGCATAAATTGTGGTCTTTAATTTATAATACCGACTAAGATGACTTCATTTTCAACCAATTATTTTGTACATTACAGCAAATCCTTACCTATTTTATACTAACAGTTGTTTTACATGAATTATAATGAATTTACATGAGACATATAGCGGCGGTTGCGACATTTAGCGGCAATAGTGCGACATTTAGCGACATTGCGACATATAGCGGCGCCACAACGACAATGCGATAACGCAATGACAACATTGCGAAAATGCGATAACGACAATAGATAATGCGGTGGCGACAGTACGATACCGCGATGACGACAACACGACAGTATTATCGCATTATCGTCGCATTATCTCACTGTCATCATTGCGTTATCGCATTGTCGCCATCGCACTTTCGTATTGTCGCATTATCGTAATGTCGTCATCGCGTTATCGCATTGTAGTCATCGCACTTTCGCATTGTCACCCTCTGAATTATAGCATATAACCACGATGGCCTTACGGAACTTGTTACCTTTGCGACATGATTTTGTAAAGACTGCATTCCGTGAGTATCGCTTTCCTTTGTTGAGCTTTACTTTCATTTCTTAATGATAAATGCAAGTGGCGTGACCGCGGAAACTAACAAAAATGAAGTTGGCCTCGATGCAGAAATGAAAGTTTATTCCAAAGAGATGAGTACGAAATTAAGTAATGCTTTTGAGATTGAGATATCAAGAAAATAGGGCAGTGACTTAATGTTAAATTTAAGATTTTTCCAGCGGTAAGTCATGTGATTAATTATAAAAATAATCGTCATGTTTTCGTTATATCCATTTGTTATAATATTTATGATTTCCCTTTTTTACAGTTATAGATTTTGTGATTTTTATGATATCCCGTTTTAATCTATCAGATTTTGTTATTTTGACGATTTCCATTTTTTTACGGTATTAGATTTTGTGAATTTTATGTTTTCCCGATTATTTTTACGATTTCCGTTTTTTTTACAGTTTTAGATTTTTATTTTCATTATTTACCCCAGACATTGTAATGTTTTATTAATTCTCTTTTTTACAGTATATGATTTTGTGATTTTTATGATTTCCCTTTTTACAGTATAAGAATTTTGTGATTTTTTAGGATTTTCATCTTTTGCAGTATTAGATTTTGTGATTTTTATGATTTCACGTTTTTACAGTACTGTTTTAGATTTTGTGATTTTTATGATTTCCCTTTTTACAGTTACTGTTTAAGGTTTCGCGATTTTTATAATTTGCCCCAGGCTTTGTAATTTTTATTATTTCCTTTTTTATAGGATATTATCTTTCGATTTTTATGATTCCTTTTTAACTTTTCACAGTATAAGACTTTTAATTTTAATGATGTCCCTTTTTTAAGTATTTGACTGTGAGTTTTAGTATTATTTCATTTATATTGTATAAGATTTAGTGGTTTTTATTATTTCCTTTTTTACGGCATTAGATTTTGTGATTTTATAAAAGATTTATTTCCCTTTTTATAGTATATGACTTTTTGATTTTTATGATTTCCTTTTTATTGTATTAGATTAAGTCCTTAGATAAGTACTAGATTTTGTGCTTTTTATGAGAAATTCAAAAATAAAATGTACAGACTGTAAATCATTGATTTTATCTACATTGTCTAATTCACAATTTAACTGATAACCAAATACATCAAATTGTTGCTTAGCTCGCGGGGAGAGCTTCGGAATTAGTAATCTAGAGGTCATTGAGCATCGGAATTAGTACTCTAGGGGTCATTGAGCATCGGAATTAGA